ATGATGATGGATGACGCTGTGTTGTGTATGGGCTTCAGTCGGGACACAGAGATGTTGGCCACTGGAGCCCAGGATGGGAAGGTTAAGGTATAGAGGACCAGCTGTACTTCAGTTTCTGTCATTGTCCTTCTGTGTTTCATTCACCAATTCTGCACTTGCAGCCCATTTCTAGCTATATAACCACATCTATTGGTATAAAATTATAAAAACCAAGAAGACATTTTAATTATTACACATGAAAGCTCTCAGAAAACTGAAAACCTCAGTTTCTTTCACTCGTGTGTTTTCTGTTTTACTAAAACACGAGAACAAACTGTATGTGTCTGTGTAGGTTTGGAAGATCCAGAGCGGTCAGTGTTTGAGGAGGTTCGAGCGTGCCCACAGCAAAGGAGTAACATGTGTCAGCTTCTGCAAGGACAGCAGCCAGCTCCTCAGTGCCTCCTTTGATCAGACCATCAGGTAAACTACTATCTGACTGTTTGTCCTTACCAGCAGCAGAGGAGGCTGTGCAGCCATTAGGGTGGTGTTTTTCTAGTGGTGTTTTCCCCCATATGCACAATGTGTTTACCAAACTCAATCATGCACTCACTTCTAGTTTCTCACTGCGACTGTGGTGTGAAATAAAGATAATACAGTGGTTATGGCTGCCACTATTATTTCTCAAAATCTAAAGCTCATACTAAGGACGTGCAAGGTTGTTTAATTGTCACAAAGTGAATGATCTTAGTGCTGATGTCCATGATGACCAAACTTCAAAGCAGGCTATGGGATCATGAGTGTGGTCTGGTTGTGTTCAAGCATGTAGGAGGTGGATGGGAGCAGGTGAAAAGATCACTTTTTCCCAAAGTTCAGTTGGCTTTTTATCGTGATGATTTTGGTTGTTTAAGAAGAACCGTAGTTTTTAGCTCCACTCAGGCTCTCTCTTTGCTGTACACTCTGTGTGAGTGTACGAGTGGCTGCTACTGTTTGAAGTTCTCTTATCTAACAACAGCTGGTGCCTAGATGCTAACAATACTGTTACCATTGGCAACAAAAGACCATACTAATTGTGTCTTGAAGTATTAAATACACTTACATTAAAAAACAAAAACAGCTGCATTTTTGTGTCAGTAAATCAGCAGTGGTGGCTCCTCTGAACATGATTTACTAAAGCCCCTCCCCCGACTAGCAGCTGAACACATGAACAGTAGCAACAAACAACCAACCAGTAATAACAAGGAATTTCAAGAGCTCAATAAAGCTCCAAGTAGGGCTGGGCTATATCATACCGTTCACGGTAATACCGGTGTCATTTTGGGCAACGATAGGAAAATGACATATCGCGATAGAATATGGGTAAAACGCGCATGCGCAGTGCCTATGTTTACATACGCACATGGCGGCGACGCAGAATGAAAAGAGCGAAAGTGGATCGTTAAATGAAACAGATGAACCAGAATTGGTTTGTAAAAATCCCACTGGAAATGCCTTTTGGCAAACTGTCAGCAAGGAATTTGCGCTGTTACATTTTTATATAACTTTAATGCACATAAAAAAACAGCTGCTTGTTTAAGTGAAAATACATTGATGGGGGTTTTTGCACTAATAAAGTTGTGGAGTTGTAAAGTATTTTGTCTAGTGTCAATTATATTGTCAGTTACTGTATATCGTTATCGCAAATTTTCAAATGTATATCGTGATAAATATTTTTGGTCATATCGCCCTGCTCTAGCTCCAAGACAGTTAGAATGTTTACCTGACTGGCACACACGTTAACATTAGCCATGTAATTACGTACATTATGATTATGGTAGCACTGCCGGCTATGACTAATAAATGATAACATTAATGTTGGATCTGGGCAAGAAATAGTTCTGGTCCTCTGTAACATTAATGTAGTGTTGATTTAAAACAATAGCATAGGTACTTTTGTTTCTATTAATGTCCCAGATGTTTACCAGCAACACACAAACAGTGGCATCCAATCTTAGCGTCTGTATTTTATCAGCATCAGTAAATATAGTGCGAAGTCAGCAGAATCACAGGAATTTAACAAGGCGGAATAGACTACTGTTCTTTCATTCTTCATTAAAACTACTGTGCTCTTCAGTAAACCTTCTTAAATTATTATGTCGACGTCATCCCTATTTGTTTGTTGTTGTTTTTCATAAGAATCCATGGACTTAAGTCAGGTAAAACTCTAAAGGAGTTCCGCGGTCACTCCTCGTTTGTCAACGAGGTCACATTCACTCCGGACGGCCATCACATCATCAGCGCTTCATCTGATGGTACAGTAAAGGTAAGAGAAGCGGCTGATTTAAAAATAACCCCATTCATCCACTTCTTTCTCATAATGCTTCTTGCTTTCCCACTCATCTTCAACGTGCTTCAGGTCTGGAACGTGAAGACCACTGAGTGCACCAGCACCTTCAAGCCTCTGGGAACGTCAGCCGGCACTGATATCACAGTCAATAACGTCATCCTGCTGCCCAAGAACCCGGAGCACTTTGTCGTGTGCAACCGCTCCAACACAGTGGTCATCATGAACATGCAGGGACAGGTCAGTTAATGTCGCCACATCACTAACAGTTGTTTGGGATTTTCTTCTAAACCCGGAGTTTTAGGTAATAAGCTGTTTTCTTGTGCAGATCGTGAGGAGTTTCAGCTCCGGTAAGAGGGAAGGTGGTGACTTTGTGTGCTGCACTCTGTCGCCCCGCGGCGAGTGGATCTACTGCGTGGGTGAAGACTTTGTGCTCTACTGCTTCAGCACAGTCACCGGCAAGCTGGAGAGAACACTGACGGTACGTTACGGCACTCAGGATCAGAGTTTCCAAAAATACCACACCATATTCTGTCCTCTGTTCCTCCCCCAAGTTCTTATCGCTGAAGTTTTGAAGTCAGTGTTGAAGGGGGGGATGTGTAACTGCCTTGTCTTCCATATAAAACTATATACATGTAGGTGTTGTACTGGTCACTGCTGATGTTTCCATTTTACACACAGTAGCTGAAATTATTTTGCAAAATAATGGATAATTTTTGTGTGAATCCATCACTTCAGACTGGAAGAAGCTCTACTCTGTTTCACTCTTGATGTTTTTGGTGTATCTTGATCACATTTTACATCTCCCATCTCCAGGTCCACGAGAAGGATGTTATCGGCATCGCTCACCACCCCCACCAGAACCTCATCTCCACCTACAGTGAGGATGGCCTGCTGAAGCTCTGGAAACCTTAAAAAGAAAAAAAAAAACACCCTCAGGAGAAGAGACTGATGCTCTCCTCAGTCTGGACACGGCTCCGCCCACTTTGATTTATTTAACCTTCTGCAGCCCTAATAAATCCTTCTCAGATTCAGGTGGTTCAGAGGTTTAAATTAATGGGAACACAGTAGTGACTAACATGCAAAGACTGAGCAGGATTTTAAGAAGTTTTTGTATCATTAAAAAAATATACATGTGAATGTTGACAGCTACGGCAGTTTGGGGTGTTTGCACAGCAGAGTCTTATTTAACTCAGCTTCTTAGGTTTGTTGCATATTTTTTACAAATAAAGTTTTCATTTCATGTGTCTTAGAAAGCAATTTGATGAACAGCGATGGTATTTAATAATTTGTAGGCCACCCGCTGTTGTTGTTTTCATTAACAGTTTTCCACAGAAATTATTACAAATGTGAAGGAAACGTGATTGTCACAAATTCTCGAACTGTACTCAGTGAAATCCTAAAGAAAAGAATTCTGCACATTTTCCACTGGCTGTTCAATAAATAAGATTCTGTTGTTCAACATGCAAGCATTTCCAACTTTTATATAAGAGCGCTTCAGCAGGAGAGAGGTCCACAGTGAGAGTGCAGATACTTGAGCCGACTCATTTTAAAAGTTTGTTTTTGTAAATATATTTTTGTTTGCATTTTTCAGTAAGATCTGGTTAAATAGTTCATGGTTGCATGTTGGTTCCTCTCATTTAGAATAGAAAAAGTATAAGATGTAGAAAATGTTACCCAGTATTTTTGAATTCCTCAAACGTTGCTGATCTTGGACAGAAAACAGTTTTGTTCAGTGATCTATAAAATACCACCTATTTGGTTATCATTTGGAAATGGGGTGTAATATGTCAAGTGTTTTTTGTTTTTTCCTTCTGGTTTGTTTTTTGGGTTTTTTTTATACCCATTTATATGAATTTGCTGTCTGGATGCACACGTCCTGTGTAACGCCGTCTGTCTGTGCCATTAAACTGTTTAACCAGAGCAGTGAAATGTGACATCTGTGCAAAAGAAATAATCCCTTCCAGTGCTTTTGAATCATTGCGACATACCGGTAATTCAAGAAATCTTCCACATTTTAAAGGCGAGAAAAAAAAAAGAAGCTTCACAAAACATCTGAAGTTTTTAAAGGCAGTTCGGTCTACATTTAATTTCCTGCCTCCCCGAGTTCTGGAAGATGTTTTGGTAATTCTCTGCCTCTGCGTTTAATCCCTGAATAAACTGGTGCATGGCTGTTGGTACAGCAGCTCTGCAGAGGAGAGGAGCATCCAGTCAGTCAGCGAGGTAAGGAAGGTTTGTAAATCCTTCAAAATAAAAGCGCAAATGTGAAAAGTATAATGTACCTCTACTCTGATTGTTGTCACCAGAATTGTTTTGATTATTTTACCAAGTCAAGAGCATTTCAGAAAATTATTAAAGTGTCATTTATTCTAAAGATTCTGGAGCCTTTTATTATTTCCTGTAATGGCAGCATGTAAGAAGGATGTGGTGGTTTCTTACACCAATGAACAATTACTTATTTGTATCCTACTTTTTTCAACAAAAAAGAATTCCACACAGACTAAGGCTCAATTTATTTTCAGCTTTTTGAAGTCTTATTTAATTTAGCCAAAAACACATCATACTAAAGTTTATTTTTTTAACTTCTATATATATATATATATATATATATATATATACAACAGGAAGTTGTTTGCATTGCTGTGAACTTGATGTTGCAGAGCAGCTGGTCACAGAGGTTGAATGAGAAGTTCGTGTTAGGTTTTCTGCAGGGGAGAGTTGCTATGGCAGGATTTCTGCTCATCACTGTGCTTTTTTATCTGAACTGTGGCTCATTTGTTGTTGTTATAAGCAGACCTGCAGATGGCACAACCTCAAGGAGAGCCACTGTGGCTTTAAACACAGCTCTAACTTCAACTGAGAGCCTTTTTTCTGCAGGGAAACCCAATACCACTGAGGTTCCCACCGCAGGATTCACAACTAGGTATCGTAAGTCAATAAGCAAACCCACCACAGCTCCAGAAAGTCTGAGTGAAGCTGCTGGTAAAACAACTGAAAGAGAAGAAGAAGGTCCTCCAGAGTTGGGTGAGTGGACACAAACTGATATTTATTTCTGTTTTTCATTTTCTTTAATGCTGTTTAATCTCAAATTGATGACAAATTGTTAAATTCAAAGGGTTCTCCTTCATGGAAAAGCTTACATGAGAGCAAATGAACTCCACTGATTGTCCTTTGGTTTTACTGGTCATTACTTTTCCCTTAAGCAAAAAGCCTATGTGGTAAAGCAGTTTCAGTGTAAATGCATCATGGTGACACTGAAAGAGAACAAAGCAGCCAAAACTTTAATTCAATGTAAATTCTGCTTTGAAAGTTAGATGCAACAAACTGTCTACCAACTCTAATCATGGTCGCATTAATCACTGATGAAGCGACAGACTTTCAACAACAACTTGAAGCCACAGTTTTGTAGATACTCGGAGTGTAAAAGGACTGTGTTAGTGTTTTCATATCTGCGGTCGGAGAGTCATTGTCCGAGGGCTGGGGGAGGATGTTCCACATTCTGCAGAGGGTGCAGTGAAACATTTTAGCCGTGTGTTTCCGCTGATGAAAACCAGATGTGCTGTGCAATGCCTGAGAGCAGAAAACAGAAGGCAACTCTTCTTAAAACCAGTCACATGTAATGTTGGTAATGCAGGAATATTCCACTGCACAGCGAGCAGATGCATATCCAGAACATCTACTGCAGGGGTTGTTAGTTTGTTTATTGAGCTCGTTATTTAATTCAAGAAGGACAGTGCATGTTAACTGTCTCACAGACTTGGGGCACAGGGAGTAACATCTTGTTTGCTTTCTTGGCAAGAGTCATCTCACCCTCAAAAATTAAACCGTACATTATTATTATAGCATGAAAAAATGATGGACAGCACCAAGAAACAGCTGGCCTTGTCTCCATAGTTAAATATTTTTGAATTTTTAAATTTGATTGTTTGTGCAGGGCTTTTTCCCGTTTCTGTGTTAAAATAAGCAGACCAATTCATTATTAATAGAAATATATGAGAGTCTCATCTAGTTCTCTGCAAGAGATTGAAATATAGCTATTCCAACCCCCTGAGCCACGATTGCCCCGTGGCTCAGGGGGTTGGAAATCGTATCTGTAACCGGAAGGTCGCTGGTTCGATCCCTGGGCTCTCTGTCCTGGTCGTTGTGTCCTTGGGCAAGACACTTTACCCTACTTGCCTACTGGTGTGTTGGCCAGAGGGACCGATGGCGCGATATGGCAGCCTCTCTTCTGTCAGTCTGCCCCAGGGCAGCTGTGGCTACAACTGTAGCTGCCTCCACCAGTGTGTGAATGTGAGAGTGAATGAATAGTGGCATTGTAAAGCGCTTTGGGTGCCTAGAAAATCGCTATATAAATCCAATCCATTATTATTATTATTTTCCTTGAAAGCAAAGTTCCATTGTAAAGTGTCCTGTCTAAAATATTGCATATTGATGTGGTATGAGGAATGCATGCCCTGTTGTGTATCAAATGGTTTGCTTTTTTATAGCAAAGAGGTCCACCAGAGGCATTAAGGTAGCAAAGAAGCCCAAAACGGTCCTGAAGAAACCCAAAGTCATCGGCAAGAAGCCAAATGCTGCTGAAAGAGCAAAACCCCAGGTCAAAAAAAGAGTGAGCCCATCAGTGGCCACAGAAACAGCCCCACGTATGTATCGGGGGTTAGCCCCAAAGTATACAGTATGCCCATCAGACAGGTTTGGTTGCTTTTTCCTGCTTGAAAGAGGTCAAGCTGTCAGGTCACACTCACACCAGGCAGCCACAAACCAAACTATTTCCTAAACTAGCTCAGATAAGAGCCATTTATGGGTTTAATATTGTGACAATCAAACTCAAGGCAGTGCTGAATGGAGGCATACTGTATATGTAAAGCCTGATGTATAACTGCTGTGTGTTACACTCATTCAGTGCAAGCTCAAACTAAAGCCTGGCAGCAGCTTCCATCCACCTGCAGCTACTTTTAAAAACACAGGTATTCATGATACAAACGCAAAATTGATTCATTGAAGCCCTTAAAAAGAAGAAAGTGCAGACTCAGACTTTTGCTGAACTGCTCACAGATTTCACCTTTCTGCTTCTGCCAGTCTTCTTTATTTACATTGGGAACACGATAAGCGATGATGTATTGTACCATATACAATGAGTTTCCTCCTCCTTCACTTCAATTTGAAGAGTTTTATTATCTTCCTCTAGCTTCCTTTTACTCTTAGTGTCTCTTGATTTTTGTCCCTCATGTATGATTGAGCCGAACTTAGTCCCTGTAGTTAACACACATCACAGAATAGAAGTGTTTTGTAGTTACTAGTGTGATTATGCACAGTCTGGTTTCTGCCGTGTGCATATTCCCTTGTATATACAGTACATATCTCATATTTGTGTACTAGACTGGAAATCGTGCCAGCTGAGTAAGCGTGTGTGTGTATAGTGCATCTGTCTGCATAATCTGTGTGTACAGAGGGAATGATCGAAGGTTAGCTCAGTGGAGGCTGGCTAGAAATAAATGCTTAGTAGGCAAGCTGTCATGTCATGTCAAATCAGAGCCGATGTTCGTTAAAATCCATGCAGGCCTGTCAGACAGTGCTGGGGTGAGATTAGCAGTGAGTGATATGACAGAAAATGTTGCATGTTGAGAATAAGTACGTGTCAAACTTATAATATTGCCTCTTCCTGGTTGTTAGCAGAGGTGTTTTCATGCCTTCATTCATCAGCAGCATGATGCATAAGTTAATATGAGTGTGACTTGACTTGAACTTTAGAACAACAGGAAGCAGCAAAGAGCGAGTCTGGGAAAAATGGGAAACCAGCACAGAGGTCAGATTCAGGGTCAGGAAAACATCTTCTATGGCTTCATTCATTTTAAATGAAAGATGAAATCTTTAGTGCTGGAGAACAATGAAAGATGCACAATAATGCTCTTCTACCTCTAGAAAAACTCCTGGTGGGATTTATTTACACAGTTAATCAGCTCAGTTGTGGATTCCTTTAATGTAGTCAAAGCTGAGTGTAATCCGGGCATCGTTATGAGTTTGCCAGCTGTCTTTGGCTCCGCTTCAGAAGTTTGAGAATAAATTTGTGGTTTGGCAGGATTCCCGTGGTCAGCAGCAACAAAGACACATTTTGACTCACAAGCAACTCGAAGGAGATCCTACAGGAGTGCAAGGCAAAAGGGGGAAAGGGTCTTTACAGGAAATGCCATCAACATTTAGCATTCATTTATGCTACTTCTATATTCTGGCCCAACGCTTTTTAGCAGCTAATAAAGCTTCCTAAGAGGAGGAGGCATTTTGAACCGAGCTGAACCCAGCAGACAATGAGAGTCTGTCCGAGGACTCACGGCTGCAGAGCCCGTGAACAGGTTTACAGAAACCTCAGTGCTTCAGCTTTCTCTGTTTTCTACCTGCTGCCTTTGACTTAATTTGTAAACCCATCAGGGTTGAAGACACTTGAACAAGTGAAAATCTTAAAAACATAAAAGAATAATAGTTATGTTTCCGCTCAGCGTTCGTACAGAGGGGTTCAGATTTGCCCACTAAAAAGGTCAACAATAATGATGAGCATTTCCAAATTCATCATACAAGCGATTTTTGTATGGAAGCATCTGCCTTTTTATCTAATCTGCTAAAAAAAACGTGAAAAATGCTTTTGAGGGGTCAACTCTCAGCTTTTTATTCACGAGAAACGTGTGTGCATGTGTTCAGTAAAATATGTACAAGGCACGGTTATGTTTGTTTAAATGCAATGCATCCATGCGGCTGAATATTTTATACAATCACATATTGATGCAGGGCGTCAAAGCGCACTGAGCCACAAGTTCCTGGAAGTTTGATTTGAACATCTGCATTTTAAAATAATCTAACGTGCTTCAGTGTAAATAAGAAAACCCTTTTTTCCAACAGTGTGTTCTGTCTGATGGCACTAAATTATCAGAAAATGACAGTTCACAGATATTCTGTCTTTTAATAACGTTCTAAAAAAATCTGACTTCTACCTTTCGAACTCACACTTCTTCGAATTCACCCCTTCTCCTGTAATTTCATTCATAATTAAGTGAAATGACTGATAAAGCCCTGCTGGTTGTCTCAGAATGTCCTCCACTGGGTCTCGAGTCACTGAAGGTCAAAGACACACAGCTGAGGGCTTCGTCCTACAAGCGCCGAGGCCTGGGTCCCCACAGGGGTCGACTCAACATCCAGGTGACTGCGCAGAATTTAAAAAAAGATCCACCGCTGCACTTCAGGCTATACTTGCAGAAGCATCATAAACACTGTGCATTCCACTTGTGTGTGGCAGTCTGGAATAGAGGATGGAGATATCTATGATGGGGCCTGGTGTGCTCAGTACAGAGATAAGAAGCAGTGGCTGGAGGTTGACGCTCGACGGCTGACTCGCTTTACTGGTGTCATCCTGCAGGGGCGCAACTCCATCTGGAGGTCAGTGCTGGTGGGTTAGAAATCAGTAAGCCTGCTGGGAAACTGGTTTCAGGACAGAATGGAAGTATTGTTTCATTTTGAAGTCCAAGATAGTGTTCCCAAAGTCTGCCTACTGTGAGATGTTACTCAATGTTACTTAATTTAAGACACATAAAAGCAGGCTTTGCTCCGTCTTCAGTTTGTGCTCTTTTTCAGAAACCTGGTAATGTCTTGATTAAGTTAAAAAGTGTGTGTCATATCACATGTGCCATATTTACAACCCAGATGTGTGTTTTCTGTTCACAAACAGCTGGGACATTGTGCATACCTACAAGGTGCAGTTCAGCAATGACACACTGGTCTGGAAGCCATGTATGAACGGGACTGAAGAGGCTGTGAGTGAACACCCGAGCTCTGATCTTCCCTCTACTCTGTGTATACGTTTCACTTTCTAAGCTGGTTATAAAAGGAGTCACGAGGCCGTTCTTTGTCTCGGGTTTATCTGTTAAAGGTAACGGGTTAGCCTTTTGCATGTTTATGAAAGAATACAGGCCAAAATAATATAAGCAAACTGATCTATCACTTGACTTTTAGGGATTTTTTTTTTTTTTTTGGGGGGGGGGGGGTGTTTTTCTTGTATTTGTGGAATAACTTTGCGTTATTCTTACTCCCACCACAGAAGCTTGAACCCACTTCATGGACAAAAAAAGGAAAAGCCATTAGAGTTTAATTTACCCGCAAGCTGTTACCATCATTCCAACAAAGTCCTGTAAAGGAAAGTTTGGTCCATAGTGTTGACGCAGCACATTTAAAGATTATATGCTATTTCATTTTTACAGTGTGAGGGCAAAGTTTGTGACGTTCGGTTATTGAAAACTCAAAAACTGGTTTAACTGTGCAGATTTGTTGGGGTTTGTTCTTTCCCCTGCTCTGTCTGGTATGTGTGACTCAGCCACAGCTGGCACGATGTGCCAGATGTGCTTTGTCCAACCTTTTTCTTTCTTTCTTTTTTTCCCCACGGGGCTTTTGAATTCAGGTGGTGAAAATCAGAGGAGATCAAAATATGACAAGCGTGCACAAACTGACGTTAAAATTCACGGTTTGCAGTGATAGAGCAATGTGCTCATATTCAGTTATGAAAATAGTTTTTACAGTACAATTTTATATTTTTATTACTAAAAAAATCGTATTTGTATTATAGGTCGTTAACCTAAATGTGTCCTTGTGTCGCAGATATTTGAAGGAAACCAAGATGCAGAGACACCCGTCCTCGCCCTCTTCAACACTTCCACAGTGGCACGCTATATTCGGATCAACCCACAGTCCTGGTACCAGAATGGGACGAAGGGGCACATCTGCCTGAGAGCTGAGGTGTTGGGCTGTGCACTCTCAGGTATAAGAGGCCACTAGCTGGAAATAGTTTTTTTACATTCATATAGATATAAGTATTTAATTAAAGTGACACACGTTTCCCATTTTACAGATCCAAACAGTATCTATCCATGGCAGACAGAGCCCACAGAGTCCAAAGACAAGCTGGACTTCAGACACCACAACTATAAGGAGATGAGAAAGGTGTTTGTTTTATATCCTGAACATTTTAATGTGTGTGTGGTCTGCTTGGTCTGACCAAAAGCAAATATACAAAGGTTTCATTCTGTTGAATGAACTGTGCTGCCACTACGAGCTGTCTGAATCTGACGGTCAGAAAACAAACAACCAAAGCAAACACAGGTCCACCTTCCCCAAACATAGCCAGAGGTCTGACATGGCTGATTTATGGGATGTAGACGTATGAAATGTTTATACTCCACTTCAGTGACAAGAAGTTTCTCTGTGCCATCTAACTTACTTTGTATGTGTATTTTATGCGTTCTTTGGCAGTTTTTTAACTTCAATTTCCTAAAAGAAGTGTTGGATAAATACTTCAGATGGTTCAAAGACACTCAGACTAAATGAGGAACCTTCAGATAATTAATTTCTAATAATCCGTTTGTAAAATAATTTACCCCACATTTTTATACATATCATTTGTTTCCCGCTGAGATGGGTTGAAATGATGCACTTGAATTTTATCTGGGCATCATCTAAGCTTAACACACTTCCAATGAGGCTACAAAACAGTTGCCCTTTGAAATACTGTGTCAGTGAAACACGTTTTTTTGTTTTTTGTTTTAACAGCTGATGAAGTCAGTACAAGAGGAGTGCCCTGACATCACGCGCATCTACAGCATCGGGAAGAGCTATATGGGGCTGAAGCTCTATGTCATGGAGATCTCCGACAATCCAGGAAAACACGAGCTGGGTGAGACTTACAGAGAAATGTGAAAGCGGCAGGAGAGGGAAGCTTAACTCTAGGAAGAAAAGCTCATCAGTGAAATCATTTGGTTTTTTTTAACACAAATCAAAGCTTAATCTAGTCTTACTAGTTAGAAGGTTTCCGGTTTTAATCCCTGACTCCTCTAGTCTGGATGTCAGAGTATCCTTGTGCAACGCAAAAAAGCAGAAGACCCTAAATTCCCTGAGGATGGCAGTGGTGCTCTGTGCGTGTTCATGACGTCCACCTCCTCCTCACAGGTGTTTTTTAATTTACTTCTCAGAAGCTGAACTTCTTATTTCTAATTAGAAACATGGCACAAAGCTGCAATCATTATTTATTTATTGAGAGCTTGGAACACTGTGAAGAGTCAGGGCTTTGGCTCTTTACTGGTTTAAATCTTATCTTAAACTCAGGATTTTCTCAGCTATCACTAGAAAATACTCCTGCAGATCAGCTGTTATGACATCTGGAGTTCCACAGGCGTTAATCATGGAGCCTGTTCTTTTTTCTCTTTGTACATGCTCCATCTAGGTCAAAGTATTCCTCAACATAATTTGCCTTTTCATTGATGTCTATAATATTTACAGTTTTATTTACCGTTTAATCTGGGCAGACACTGTTTCATAAGAAAGCTCCAATCTAAAGCTTCAACTAAACCTTGAATCTTCCACATGGTGCTGTGCTGCCATGCCGCTTCTCCCCTAATGAGACAGTAAACTAAGAGGTCAGCAGGTCAGTATACTGGTTCTGACCGTGTCTTTCAGCCCTTCTTCAGATACAGTGCACTACTGTGTGAGACATAAACAGTCCAGAGTTCTCCCTCGTTTGCTTTAAGGTGTACAAATGTTTTCTTTGGCCTCATCGACTCAGCCCGCGTGGCAGCAGAGTGGTAGGTAGGGTATTTCCCGCCAAAAAATCACTTCAGGTTGTTATGTTGAAGTCAGTCGGGGGGAGGTTGGGGTCTGTTTGGGTTTAAATCTGTGCTCTTGTTTGGTTAACCACATCTTCTTCATTGTTCTTTTCTCTGATTTATTTTACGGTGCTGTTGATAAGGGTGGCTGTAGCTCAGGTGGCAGAGCAGGTCAGCCACTAATCTGAAGGTTGGTGGTTCGATCCCAGGCTGCCTCCTGGCGGCATGCCAAATATCCTTGGGCAAGATACTAACCCCGTGTTTGCCTACTGGTGGTGGTCAGAGGGCCCGGTGGCGCCAGTGTCCGGCAGCCTCGCCTCTGTCAGTGCGGCCCAGGGCAGCTGTGGCTACAATGTAGCTTGCCATCGCCAGTGTGTGAATGTGTGAATGACTGAATGTAGTGTGAAGCGCTTTGGGGTCCTTAGGGACTAGAAAAGCGCTATACAAATGCAGGCCGTTTGCCATTTACCATGATGGCTTTGTTGAAGCTGAGGTCATATTTATAGCATTTAAGCATTCTCCACTGCAACCACTGAACATACAAGGTATGGACATTGAGGCTGTGGACAGCTACAGGTACCTTGGTGTTCATCTGAACAATAGACTGGACTGGACTCATAACTCAGACGCCCTCTACAGGAAAGGGCAGAGCAGGCTGTACCTGCTGCGGAGACTCAGGTCGTTTGGAGTGGAGGGCCCACTCCTGAAGACCTTCTATGACTCTGTTGTGGCTTCTGCTATCTTTTATGGTGTGGTCTGCTGGGGCGGCAGCATCTCTGCTGGGGACAGGAAGAGACTGAACAGGGTGATCCGAAGGGCCAGCTCTGTTCTAGGATGCCCTCTGGACCCAGTGGAGGTGGTGAGTGACAGGAGAACGGCGGCTAAGCTGTCATCCCTGATGGACAACATCTCCCACCCCATGCAGCAGACTGTGACAGCACTGAGCAGCTCCTTCAGTGGGAGACTGCGGCACCCACGGTGTGGGACGGAGAGATTTCGCAGGTCTTTCCTCCCCACTGCTGTCAGAATCCATAATAAAGACTTTAACAGATCAAGCACACACATCCATACATATGCAATAATACTAAGTGCAATAATCCTTTCTGTCATCGTTGTATTTTTACTCAGTTGTATATAGTATTTGTATTTGTATTCTATTTTTATCTTATTGTATATTTATTTTATTTTATTCTACTGTATATAGTATTTTATTTTATTCTATTCTGTACAGTTGTGTACTGTATTTATTCTTATTGTATTCTAATTTTTGCCTCATAACTTTTGCACTGTCCACTTCCTGCTGTGACAAAACAAATTTCCCACGTGTGGGACTAATAAAGGTTATCTTATCTTATCTTATCTTATCTTATCTTATAGAATATGACCTTTAAACATAGCGTGAACAAGAAATTGAATGCAAATCTGCCCCCATACTCATCTTATACTTGGTCCCCTGGTATAATCCCAGAACACCACACTGGGAGGGGTGATGATATCTCCCCCCCGACCTGTCATCCTGGCTCCCCCTTGCCATAGCATGTGTGCTGCACCTCATCAATCTCTAGCTGTGAGAGCAACATGAGGGGTCTAGCCTAGTACCCTTGCTGAATACAGATGCCCCAGGTGAGAGTCTAACTTGAAAGTCCCACTCCAGAGGCGTGTAGTCTTACCAATACGCTATCCAGCTGCTATTATACTATATATATCTCTCTCTATAGGTTGGATGGATGGGTGAGCTTTAAATCTGTGCTTTAAAGTGTTTTAAATAGCCTCGGAGCCATTTTCATATTTAAAATATATTTGCTTACAGCACAGCTCGCTGTTTGAAAACTTTCTGAGTGTTATGTGCCGTATTTGTTGTTAGCAGTGAAGTGAGCTCAGAGTCCTCCTCATGAGCATTTCTCAGAATAACATGTGACATTTCAGAGATACCTGCCATTGAATGTGCAGTATGTGGCCCACTGATCTGTGCAACTCTGCATGTAAAACATCAAACTGCACGTGTATTAAAAGCTGTTGCATATGATATCCACTGCACATAAAGGATTTTGATGTGATTTGTGTTTAAATCTTTAAAGGCATTAACCAAATGACAAGTAAAAGTCTGGTATGAGCCAGCCTTCCCATCTCTGTGTTTGGCGCCCCCTGCAGGAGAACCAGAGTTCCGATATGTTGCAGGGATGCATGGAAACGAGGTGCTGGGACGAGAGCTCCTGCTAAATCTCATGCAGTACATCTGCCAGGAGTATAAACGGGGAGACCAGCGCATAGTGCACCTGGTCAAAGAGACCCGCATCCACCTTCTGCCCTCCATGAACCCCGATGGATATGAGATGGCTTTTAAAAAGGTGCAGGAAACTCCCCTGTCAGCTCTGAATGTCAGCACTAGACATGAGAGTAATAAATTACCAGAACTGAAAGGAGTTAATCCTGTTTTCTTTGACGTTCAGGGCTCAGAGCTGGCAGGCTGGTCGCTGGGACGTTACAGCTATGAAGGCATCGATATGAACCACAACTTTGCTGACCTCAACTCAGTGATGTGGATCGCCATCGAGCTGGAGACAGACCGGTCCAAACTCATCAACCACTATTTCCCCATCCCTGAACAGTACACCACCGAAGAAGCTTTTGTGAGACACACGAGTGACAAACACACATTTCACACACACGAAAAACATCTCCATCACCTGTTTTCCTGGCTCTCAATTTCATATTTTATTGTAGAATGATTTAAAACGTTGATACTTTAATGGCGTTTTAATCCTAACGGTTTAAACACGACGGTGACGGGTCATAGTATTTTTACATCGATTCAGTCCTGAGAAAAGGCATCAGTAAAAACAACCTGTACACGTGGACCAGGGTCATGTGGAGGCTTTCAGAAGCAGGGATAGTTCAAACCAAACATGTCTAAATTTAACATTTTATTTTTAACTTTAAAATTCTCTGACTGTCTGGGTGATAAATAACGATTTTCAGTATGAATTAATTAATTAAAAAAACCATTAAACAAATAAAAACATTTTAAAAAATGTAATTTAAAAAATTAAACTGGAAAATAGAAAGAAAAAGGAATTTTTTAAAATAAAAACAGATATTTTAAACTTAGTTTTTCTAACAATAGGACAAAGTCCTTTTAATAAGCTTCCAGTTTTTCTTCCTGTAATTTTGTAGGTTTCACTCTTAGATTGTGATGAGTCATACCTAAATGTTTCTTATGGCTAATTTGTGCCTCCTTGTCTCCTCTTTCCTCCTGCCTGCGATCCCAAAGTTAATCTCAATACAACACATTGAAGGATGTCTTAATTCAAATGCATCTAGTGGGTAGAGGAAGAAAGGAGCTGCAGGAGGGTTATAATTGATGCTTCTTTGTTTCTTGTGGAACAAACAACAGCTAGAGCTTGTAAAACAGCTAAAAAGGTGGACAGATATCCACAGCATCATGTTTTCTGGGGATACCGTCCACTATTTACTGCCATTAAAATGTCACCTAAAACAGAGTCGAGTTTACCCTGATTGCAAGTTTTAACAAACTCGCCACCTTTAACATCAGGTGGCGTCAGAGACCCGAGCTGTCATCAGCTGGATGCAGAACATCCCATTTGTTCTGGGTGCCAACCTCCACGGTGGAGAGCTGGTGGTCACCTACCCATACGACATGACACGGGACTGGGCGCCTCGTGAGCACACGCCCACCGCTGATGAGAGCTTCTTCCGCTGGTTGGCGGTAGTGTACGCCAGCACCAATCAGGTGACTGCTCCTTCCACGCTCTTAAACTACAAAACGCCTTAAAGAAAGTGAGTGAACAGTGTACTTTTACACGTAATATAAAACAGGTGATGTCCAACCATGACCGCCGGCCGTGCCACAACAAGGACTTCCTGAGATACAACAACATCATCAATGGAGCCGACTGGCACAATGTGCCTGGAAGTAAGAACGAGTGTTTTTAAAGTCAGATTTAAAGCTTAAATCTCTGTTCTGTTTCTTAAATTAACATTTAATTTTTATTCTGTTTATCTCCTTTATCAGCTTACAAGACAAAATTAATACCATCAGAATCTGCAGACAGATGTGACCTTAACTCTAACTTTTTCACTACCTAAAATTACTTATGCATTACTAGGTTACTTTCAGTCTGCTTAAATTTAATAATAGTATAATCATTTCTTTGTTACCTGTGAAAAACTGATTTGTTACCCTGTTAATCTGGTGCGCCTACCTTTAAGTCAGGGCTCTCGAACTCCAGGCTTCGAGGGCTGGTGTCCTGCAGGTTTTAGATGTGTCCTTGATCCAACACAGCTGATTTAAATGGCTAAACAACCTCTGCAACATGTCTTGTTGAGGTAATGAATCAAATGAACTAATCATTTGATTCAGGTGATTTGATTCATTTGATTTAGTGTGTGTTGACCCAGGGTGGTATCTAAAATCTGCAGGACACTGGCCCTCGAGGTCTGGAGTTCGAGACCCCGACTTTCAGTATATGTAGGTAAATATAACTGCACTTAATTTTCATTTATTTACAGAGGAATTAAGGCCTTTGTCATGGGCTGTATTACAAAGTGCTGCTGTCAAAATATTAAAAGTGTTTTTCAGCTTGCTAACAAACCTGGTTGCTCTGAAACTGATGGTATACATATGCACACCTATTTAAAAGTAAATAAGATGCTTTGGGTGAAATAGGGGAGACTAAATGGATAAAGACGATATTATACAACCTCTGTACCCTTAATGACAGGTTTTGACACCTATGTATTAGTAAAGACGTAGTTTGACAAACATTAGAATAGGTCACAGTTTTTTCCAAGGTCCCTAGTAAGTAGGGATGGGTATCGTTTAGGTTTTATCCGATACCGGTGCCAAACCGGTACTTTTGAAAGGGTGCCGGTGCTTAAACGGTGCTCAAACCGGTGTTTAAAGAATGGAGAACACAAAATTGGTCCAAAAACCTCTCATGTTCAGCTGTTTTTTTGTAAAAAGATAACAATGTTAGCCTTTTCTGCAGCTATGGGGCATATATGGTATCACTATTGGCTGGAAGCAGTGCTTAAACAATGGAAAAAACACAAACTTTGTCCAAAAACCTCTCATGTTTAACTGTTTTCCACTTTTTCTTTGGTCATTTTAGCCTTTTTGGCCAGGGTGAAGGGAGTACCTGTCATCAAACAAGAAGACAGCCGCATGTAGCTATGATGATGTTTGCTAGTTGCCATCATGGCACTGGATACCGGTACCCATCCCTACTAGTAAGATTCACAGGCGCAGATCACCCTCACTAGCTTCATTTTGTTCTGAAAGCAGAGCTGAAATATGACTGAAACCTCTCGGGTCAGAACAGATAAACTAGGGTTTCTCCTAGCAGGTGACCAAAGATGTGTTTGATTTAGCTGAACATGACTATGTCTTTAAAAACATAAACTCAACACCAGAAAAACCTCAGCACAAAACATAACTTGGATTGAATAAATAAAGTTCGTCATATTTTTCTTTTTTACTTTCAGGTATGAATGACTTCAGCTATCTGCACACCAACTGCTTCGAGGTGACTGTGGAGTTGTCCTGTGATAAATTTCCTCACGCCAGCGAACTTCCCATCGAGTGGGAAAACAACAGGGAGTCTCTGCTGACTTACATGGAGCAGGTATATTACTTATAGGTTTAGTTTATGAACGGCTTGATTATCATTTTATTTAATTTTTTTAAAGGCTGTGTTTATTTTAGGTGCATCGTGGTATTAAGGGTGTGGTTCGCGACAAGGATACGGGGGCTGGAATAGCAGACGCCGTTATCAAAGTCGATGACATTAATCATCACATTAGATCAGGTACATTTTTATTTCACGTCAGATATTGAATCAGTTTTGGTGGTAAGAATAACAGAAGCAACTAAACATCAATAGCCTGTCAATAGATTCTGGACATTTTTAATTATTTCTTTATCATGATGTTAAGTGGAAATCTGATAACGTGATAAAATGTTGGCCCTTTTTGCATGTTTTATAATAAAGGAAAAAAATAAGGTTTTCTGGATGTTTGTGTATACTGTGATAGTCCACTGCACTGATACTTTTCCTCATGCCACCTTCTGTTATTTCCTTTCTGCAGTGGCCGATGGCGATTACTGGCGGTTGCTGAACCCCGGCGAGTATCGGGTGACGGCCACCGCAGAGGGCTACTTCCCCTCCTCCCGCACCTGCCAGGTCATGTATGACCACTACCCCACAATCTGTGATTTCCGCCTCACTAAGATGCCCAAAGAGAGGCTGAAGGAGCTTTTGATGAAGGGAGGGAAACTTCCCAAAGACCTGCAGCTCAGGCTGCGGCAGCTACGCATGCGGAAGCTGCGTGTCACCACCAAGGCAATCAACCGGAGACGCGCTGCTGCTGCTGCAAAACGGGCAAAGAGGGTGTGATAATGATCGTGATCAAAGCGAGAACAAAGCAGGACTTGGTTCAAAGACCCACCTTCGCAGGATTCACACATTAGAAATGTTTTTATCTTCTGCTGTGGAGCAGCAGAGCAACTTAGGAAAAAGTCTGCAGCGAAAGCCACATTAATTATTCTGATTTCTGGGGAAAAAAATGTATGTGATGTCATATTGTTTTCTTTGAGCTCAAGAGAATGAACACATTTTATAAGAGAAGTCAATAATTGAGTCCTTCTTTATTACATGATTAGTATTTGACCTTACAGTTAAAAATTAAAAACAAAACTAATTCACTTCAGAACACTGAGCTTCCACTTGACACCGTTTCTCATCTTTGGAGCGGTCGGGACCTCGGCGTCTACGGAGGGGAAAAGATGGGAAACAATAAGAGAAAATTTTAAATGGTGGCATTTAATATTTATCTGACTAAAAAGGTGAAACTAAGGAGAAGAGAAGTGACTGGCTAAAGAAACAAATTGTGCTGACCTTGCTGTGAAGCTGCTGGTCTCTGCTGCTGTTGGAAAGAAGCCATGATGCTGTTTGCCGTGGAGTTTGGCCCAGTGAGCTGCAGAGCAGGAAAAGTTTAAGATTTATTTTTGGCCTTTGTCATTTTTATGACAGGTCAGTGGAGTGGGCAGGAAAGGAGGGAATGACGTTAAGGAAAAGGCCCACACTCATGCCGGTAGGACATGTCCACAATACCTTGCCTAGGTGACATCACAGTCAGATGCCAAACCAACTCATCTGGCTCCTTCGATGTGGAGGAGTAACGACTCGACTCTGTGTCCCTCCCAAATGATTTAAACCCTCACTCTAAAGGAGAGGCCAGCTCATAGCAATAAGTCAGATATGTCATACTTCTGAAGAACCTCCTGAAGAAACTACCACAGATTCCTCCGAGAAACATGTTTGAATTCTTTCTCAGTGACTGCAAAACACATGTCGACTGGTTGGGCAACTCCTACACACCCCAAATATCCTCAGGAGGATAAAGAGCTGGTCCAGCGGTCCACAATCAGGAAGAAAACCTGAATCTGATGTTCGACTAATGGAGAGACCTCTCCAGTACCCTGCCATACATCTTCCCAGGAAGGCTGAATAGTGCAAACCCCCCAAATAGTGTACCCTTATCCCAGGCAGGGTGACCAGCTCCCTTTATTTGTTCTCTTTCATAAAAGGTCCTTTTAGTGTATTTAGGATTCATGTAAGTTCATGTAAATTCATGTAAGATAGATCTTTAGATCCATACTAATGCACAAAGCCAAATGTGCAGAAAGACTGTTAAAGACAATGATAAGAACTATATTTACCGGGGCTTGGCTGGTCTGCAGGCCTTCAGGCCACACCTCAGGAACTGCTGCCTCCATCATCTGCAGAGCTTCATCGTAGGTCAGCTGCAGCTTTTCTGCCTGTTTGTCAAACTGGAACAGCACCAACACCTTCAGCAGGTTGTGGACTTCCTCTGTCAGGGGGAATTAACAAATAAGGTTTCACCTAGATGGATGTAACATCACTGAAGGGTACAGTGACTTATACAAGTCTTGAATTCTGTATTAAAACTTTTCTACTTACTATGTTTAAATTGCACACCAAGTCAGACCAGGAATTAATCTTTTGATGTCGAGTTCAAACAAGAGGAATGATTATAAAGAAAAACCTTGTGAAGGGGAGCAGCACTAAATGTGGACCAACAACTGTTTGCTGATGTTTTTGTTCCATAGTCGTACCTCTCATTTTGTCCACAGTAGTGATGATCTCAGCCAGGGCGAACATCAGTGCTCTGTCCTCCATTGGGCTTCCTTCCTTCAAGCTGAGCTTCTTTCTCTCTGCTTTCCGCCGGTTCTTCGATGATCTCCTGCGAGCACGTTGACAAACATTCCATCAGTAACAAAACTGAAGTATTTTCCAGCTGGGCTACGCTTGACAAACTCTTAAGGTGGAAGCGGCTGGCTTACGAGGAGATGCGGGAGTTACTGTGAGAGTATTTGGAATTGGTCATCACACTGCTGGCTTCAGAGTAAAGCTCAGCGTCAGCACAGTCTGGACCGTCTTCGTCTGGTGAGGCGGACAAAAGGTCGGGTCACAACACGTTCACGTTAGATAACACAAAAACCGCTAATTCAGTCCGATTCTCACCGAGCATGTCCAGTCTGGCTTTCTCTTTCTGCTCTCGAACCACAGCCAGGCGGGTCTTGTGTCGGGTGAAAGTCCCAACCTGAGCCTCCAGGAAGGAGGTTTGGGTGTTTACAGCTGATGGAAAACATCAACATGCTAAGACTATGCCCTCTTTGTATGGCTGCCCTCTTTCTTAGTAGCATGGTTCAATAAAATAAGAGACTGAACTTCTCTTACCTTCTAATATGGCGGGTTTCAGGTTGGTTTCAGTGATGTCCTGTCTGTTGTGCATGTAAATCTGAGGCAGGCAGAGGAAATATTTGTGTTCTATTGTGTAAAAAGAAAGGTGAAGGCAAAGTGAAAAGGCCCAAGAGATGGCGGTTTATTTACTGACCAATCGGAGCGCCTCCTCCCAGGATGCCCCAGTGATTAGAGCTAAGATGGCTTCCTCACAGTCCTGTGGGAATAAAGGAAAATCAGGCATTCAGACCTTGGCTAGCAACTGCAGGCAGGAAGTGCTACACTGCTGGATGATCTTTAGCTGTATCAGAATTTCTCAGGTTGGTCATGGCTGCAGAAGAGCTTACTTTAGCATACTGGTCCAACAGCAGAGCAGCTTCTGAGTAGCGCCTCTGTTCATTCAGCTTCTCTACAAAGGAACAAAGCAGAAACATTCACTGGAAATATAATCCAGCAGCGATGTGGCTTCTTGACTTTCCACTTAATCTCCAGGTCACATGACCACCTGTTCTTATGATTACCTGCCAGGTCTCTGGCCAGCAGAGCTAACTGGTCGGGTGGTAGCGGTATCTGCTGCGCCACGCAGATGGCGTTCCTCCAGCTGGAGCTGGTGGCAAAAGCTTGCAGGGCCCGTGCTGGCTCTCCACATCGCCAAAGGAGCAGGCCGGCCTGCTCCGCCTGCTGCTGCTCCACCAGGTGCTCGGCGTAGGCACAGCTCAGTGTCTTGAGGTCAAAGAGCAAAGTGTCAAAATTAACTAGCATATAAACACAAGACCGGGTGAACAGGTGAGCGCTTTCTACGGGTGAATTTATGTGTGTGACCTTATTCACAGCGTAAAGTGCCACAGTGAGATTTGAAATGAGGTTTGATTATCGAAGAATGTAAAATAAATTCTCTATTTATATTTGTGTTAATTTCATCCATTAGACTTTGCTCGGTGCCTTTTTATTCTTAAAAATGTTTTTAAGACATTTGTAGTCTGATTTCTCTTCTTTAAATTACCTCTAATAATAAAATAAAAACTTTTTAAAATTGTTCTCCTTTTCTTTAAATTAAGAAAAAACTTTTATATTTAATGTCTTAAGATCTGTCCAGCTTTCATCCAAAAGGCTTCGGTGTCTTTAACTCAAACTGAACCTCACGTAACCCAAGACGTGGCTCACTGCAGTCACAGAGGCCACGGTGTGATGCGAGTGTGGGCCAAATCGCCTGGTAAAGCATCTTAAGTCTGTGTTATACTTCAACACCATCAGCTGGTGTTGAAGACCACCACCTCTGTTTGATGATGGTCAATCACAGTGGATCTACATGGCCTCTTTTGCTTAAACCACGTGTCATGTCTACTCAGTCCAAAATGTAAACATCTGCACTTAAAGGAAAGAGGAGAGTACAGCTGAGTCCTGGGCCTCATGTTGTGCCGTGGCTGTTCAGTCTCTCCTATGTAAAAGGTCCAAACGCTCCTCCCTGCACTGCACAGCATACAAGGAGACAACCCTGCAAGGGGTTAAATACCTGAGAGTCAGTGTTTACAGCTGTATGAGGTGAAATGTTTCAAATGTTTCACTCCATCCAGATCTGTGGATGACTGAGAACACAACACTGACAAATTTCACATTTAACAAATTATCTTTTATAAAACTTGAGTCTGGGAAAAACAAGCACAATCTCAACAAAATGCCTCAGTTTTCCCACATCCATCCAGTCATTACAAAGAAATTCCACTAGTAAATCAAAGAGCCCCATCAGCACGGCTCTTTTGGGTTTAACCACCTGACTTTGGTGTGGCATGGCAGACAATGTGGGATGTCTTTGTCAGACAAAAGGCTGTAAAACTGACAAAGAATCAGACCTCTGGCCTGGAAATAATAAACAGCTCAGAAAGCCTCTTTCATCGTGATTTAGCCTTGATGATTTTTATGCCATTTTATTTTCCATTTTTTCTGCAAAACTATCGGGCCAGATTAAACCCTTCTGTGGGTGTATGTTTGTCATTCCTGGTATTAGTGATTTGAAAAACTATGATCAGTGTCATGAATGCATGTGTCATGTTGCAGTGTTTGGGTTCAGCTCGACACGGACCTGAAACAGTCCTGAGCTGTGTGCGTACCTTGTAGTGAGCGCTGTCTGCTGAGTACAGTCTCAGAGCTTCACTGTAGAGCTTCTGTTCCTTCACGAGCTGCAGAGCTTCAGGAAAATGTTCCTCTCCTGTACAAAAACACTCATCATGTAACTTAAAAAGATTCTGGCAGAGTTTCCAAAAACAGCAACTCTCAGTAAGATAAGACCAAGCTGACAGGCACAAGCGGACTGACCACACTTGCTGAGATGGTGCAGGGCCTTTCTGTAGCGCTTCAGGTGTTTGTCGATGGTGTAGCGCTGGTAGTTTGGCTCCAGGCTCTTCAGCATGTTCAAGAAAGGCAGGTACTCTTTGGGGTCCTGCAGGGATTGAGGAGATAGCAACATGAATCAGCTGTATCCTTACTCTATACACAATGTGAAAGATTAACCTTTCTGTTGCTGCACAAAAAATAAAGATCTCAAAACTTTGGACATGGAAAAGTCTTTAATTCACACCAAATTTACTGATACTCTTTCCCCTGATTACACCACAGGCTCTCAGAGCATTAAAGTCTCCTGTTTAATGTTTGAAAAAAAAAAATCAAATGGTCTATCATTATTAGAAATAATGTAAAACGTATTTTAAATAACACATCCTGATGATCCACTAACTTATTTACTGATCTCACTATCAACGATTCTGTATAAAGTATACAGTATATCATGGCACTGAGGTAAAGTCTGGTGGTTCCTCTTCCCCTGCAGTCTCCTACCTTCTGGGATTTCTCCGCCACCATGAGTACGAGG